CGACGTCTTTGCCCCGTCGGTATAAAACTGTGCATAATCCTTGTATCTTTTTTACTACCTCATGAAACTCCTGCTGGATGATTATTAGAAAAACGTTATGTTTGTCGAACCTGGTGAAACACCAATCGCAGCTGACTGGAAGCAGATCGCAAGGCGCTACAGTGTCGGTCCTTTCAAGTAAGCTTATGTCATTCAGTTCGAGACTAAGAGATTGACGGATGTCCTCAAGGCGAAGGCTGAGCGGCCGCACAATACTAAGCTTATTTTGAAAATTAAGGGAAGAACTAGAGTGATCCACACAGCGGTATGTTGGATGGTTAGGGTCGGACAGGATTTTGTAGGCGTAAAACGAGCTAATATTTTGCCGTCTTTTTTCCAGCGACATCTGATTTGCCTCTATATATAAACTGAGGATTGGTGATGTCCAAAAAGCCCCTGTAGCAAGTCGAAGGCCAAGGTGGTGAACAGGATCAAACATCTTGAGTGCCGATGACCTTGCCGATCCGTAAACTACTGCTCCGTAATCAAGGCGGGACCTGACGAGGGAATTACACAGGCGCAGCAGACACTTTCTGTCAGATACGCATGACCTGTGTGACAAGACTTTGAGGATATTAGCAGATTTTAGGCACTTAAGTTTTAACTTTCAAATGTGAAATAAAATTTAGCTCCCTATCAAAAATGAGTCCTACAAACTTGTGTTCGTATAGGGTACATATGGGAGTTCTATTGATCTCTAATGATGTATCCAGCGTTATTCCACGTTTTAGAGAGAATGGTACGCACACCGTCTTCTCAGGTAAAAACCCGAAACCATTTTCGTCGGCCCACTTACTCATTTTATTTATTGCGAGCTGCAGCTGGCGTTCACAACTGTAGAGATTGCAAGAAGAAACTGATATGTGAACGTCATCAACGTAAAAGGAGGAAGACACGGTACGTGGTATTACCTTCGAACCATCATGACAAATAATGTAACTCTCAAACCCCCCCCCCCCCCTTGTGGCACACCACTCTCCTGAATAGAAAGGTCTGAATATGTGGCACCTACTCCAACTTTGAATGTTCGGTCAGACAGAAAGCTTTTTAGAACACCGAGCATGCGACCACGTAAACAACATGCGAACAGGCCCGTAAGTATTCCATACCGCCATGCCGTGTCGTACGCCTTCTCCAAGTCAAAGAAGACTGACACGCAGTGCTGCCTGTTTACAAAAGTGTTACGTATAGTCGTTTCTAGGCGCACTAGGTGGTCAACAGTTGACCGCCCTCCGCGAAAGCCACACTGGTTCTGATCAAAGAAACCCTACGTTTCAAGAAAATAACCAGTCTCCTATTGATCATCCGCTCAAATATTTTGCCAAGACTGCTCGTAAGTGCAATAGGGCGGTAGCTGGATGGAACTGGCGAGTCTTTACCAGGTTTCAACAATGGGATAACAAGGGCCTGCTTACAGGATTGGGGAAAGTATGCCTGCGTCCACAGATGATTAAAAAACCAAAGCAAAGTTTCCAGAGATTTTGGGGCCAGCTGACGAATCATCTCGTAATGATTCCTGTCAGGGCCAGGGGCGGACTGTTTTTTAAGAATAAGAGCCAACTTAAGTTCGTTCATTGCGAAAGGTTTGTTGTATCCTGCAGTATTTCCTCCAGACATACTAATCCGATGGCATTCTGCACGAGCCTTGAATTGTCTAAATTCTGCCCTGTAATTATCGGAGCTAAAAACGTTTGGGAACTGCTCTCCGAGGAGATTAGCCACATCTCCGAGCGAGATTGTAGGAGAATGGAAAAGAGGAATCACAAACGCATGATAATCACCCTTGATTTTGCGGTATCGATCCCACACTTCCTTGGACGAGACAAAACTGTTGACTGAAGAGACATGCTTCATCCAAGTTTCTCGTTTAGCTCGTTTCCTCGTCCATCGAGCTTTTGTTTTTCTCCTTTTGAACTCTATTTTATTGAGAGGAGTAGGGTACCGTCTGAACGTATCCCAGGCTTTATGCTGTTCTTTTCTTGTAGATGCACAGTCTGTTCCACCACGGTTTACACCTCTTCGGCATGTTTTCAGAAGTCTGCGGAATAGCTTCAAAAGCTGCACTTAGAATATGTTCGGTGACATATAATGTGACATCCTCCGGAGACAAACTTGCTAGGAGTGAGGCATCCAGCGTTGCCTTTAATTTAAAAAGCCCCGTCTGCCTTATCTAAACTTCCACCTAGGAATGCGTTTTAAAATGGTGGGAAGTGCGACGTTGCTTTTTAAAATGAGCGGAAAGTGGTCGCTCCCAAAAGTGTTCTTTAAAACGTTCCAAGAAAAAAGAGGAAACAATGAAGGTGATGAAATAGACAGGTCGATGGATGTGAAAGAGTTATGAGACGCTCTGTAAAATGTTGGTTTTTGGTTATTTAAAAGACACAAACCTGAAGACTGTAAAAGGCGCTCTATGACCTTGCCACGAGAATCGAGTCGGTCATTGCCCCACATAGGATTGTGAGCATTAAAATCGCCTAAAATTAAGAAGGGTTCTGGCAGTTGATCAGTAAGACCTTCGAGTTCATGAATATAAAGTGGAACAGGTGGGGGAAGATATAAAGACACAATGGTAATGAGACGGTCAACTAAAACACGGGTTGCCGCAACTTCAAGTGGTGTACGAAGAGGGACCTACGCACATGCTACTCCTCTCCGAACAACCACAGCGACACCACCAGAAGACTGGGCTGACAAGCGATCTTTCCCAAAAACACGGTGACGACGTAAAATATCAGTGTGAGTGTTCTTCAGATGAGTTTCCTGCGAACAGACAGCAATAGGCTGCAGCTCGTCCAGAAAATAATGAACATCATCCATGTTTTGTAGTAGACCCCGTCAGTTCCACTGCAAGAAGCCAACATGCCCCATTTATCACGTTGAATATACCTGACACTGGAGCAAAAATGGCCATAAAAGTCGAAGGAACAGAAAGGGACAGGACGACGTCTCAACGTCCTGTCCCTTTCTGTACCTTCGACATTTATGTTCATTTCTGCCACAGTCTCAGGTATATTCAACATGATTAACGTTCACTAACTCGCCTGCACCCTTACTATTTTATTTATGACCCATTTGTTTGCTTGCTTAAGTTGTAGTTAAAATGTGGGGTTCGTAGCTGTGACAAAGTGGACAAAGGTTAGCTTGCGTTGGTTGGGGCAGTGACACGTGGAGGTTTTTCTTCTGATCCCCCTTTACAGGGGTAGATTTTGTGCCTCCCTTGGCAGGTAGAGGTGGTTCTGTCGTATCGACAGATACCTCCATGGCCTCCTGCTCCCGCTGGGAAGTGGAAGGAGTGGGCCCCTCCCTGCTGTGAGAGGGAGTGGCGTCTAGTACCACCCGAGGCTTCGGGCCAAGACGATGCGGCATCGTCTTGGTACGTAGAAGTATTGGCGAGGCCGCCGGGGTCTGGGAACCCACAGGAGCCTCGCTGGGAGTTGGGGGGCTAGTGGAGCACTCAAAGTCTCGAGGACTGTACTGAGTGCCGACGGATGCCTTGAGTGGCGGCGCAGCCCCCCTTGCTGCCGCCTCGGCATAAGTGCCTCCCTGGAGGAAGGAAAATCGTTTTCTTGCCTCGGGGCATGTCAGGTTATCTTTTACCTTTAAAGCTAAAATCTTCTTTTCTTCTTGGAACTTTGGACAGGTTCGAGAGTAGGTGGGGTGGGAACCAGAGCATATGATACACTTGAGAAGTGTACCCTCGTATGTGTCGGCTGGATGGTCTGTGCCTCCACACTTAGCACACGTAGTTTTTCCTCGACAGGTTACCGAGCAGTGACCAAATCTTTGGCACTTGAGTTAGGTATGTAAGGACGCACCTTGCAATGGAGATAGCCTTTTTTAATGCTCTCAGCAGTACGGTGGATGCAAAATTGAGGACCAGATGATTTGAGGGTCTTTTCTGTCCATCCCTGCGTATTGTGATTCGTCGCACAGCGACCAACCCCTGCCCGGAAAGGCCGTCCAAGATATCTTCCTCGCTAGATTCTAGACGGTCATTCTCTGAAATCACGCCCTGGCAGCTGTTCAAGGTGCGATGTCAAGTGACAGATACTTTGTAATCCGAGATCTTGTTTAAATCTTAAATAACCACACTCTGAACTCCGTCTTGTACTTCAACGAGCAGGTCACCAGATGCTAATTTCTTTGCTTTAAAGTTTTGACCAATTAAGTTTTTTAGACTCTTTGAAATAAGAAAGGGTGAAAGCTTGGCAAGATTTAAGATAAGGAAAGAGGGACATTTAAGACAAACAGACAAGACAGCTTTCCTTATCGTAAATTTATAACCAACACGCTCAACCTTCTACATTACGCTTGGCAAGAAGTTTTCTATTTTGTTCCGACTGCATTACCAGAAAGGGGCTGAAGCTATTCTGGGCTGTAGCTGATGAGTCTTTGGTAACTACTTTGGTCCGGACCCTTTTCAAGGTCCGATCGGGAGGTTTTTGCTTAGAACTCATATGAAGGGCAGAAACTTCGGCATCCGTAGCGCACCACCCACCGCGGAGTCCAACAAGGGGATAAGTAACATCTCATAAGAGGTCTGGCTTGTCTGAGTATGCTACTCTACCAGTGCTACTAGGAAGCTATAACCAAGTGTGGATCAAGAGAGAGTTCTGTCGCCACCCAAGGTTAGCCCTTGCCGCCAAGGAAGGTGAGAACGAAGAATAGAAGAAAGGAGAAAAGAGGAAGAGAAGAGGGGAGAGTAGAAGAAATGGTGACTGACTGAATCATCCTGGTCGGGCCAAGCCAGGACACCCGTCTACGGGAAGCGGGGGCCGAAGTGGTGTATTGCCTCACCCGGGGGGCCCCGAAGGGTCCAAACCTATTCCGGGTTCGACTGGACCACCAAAATGCCCTTTTCCCCGGACACGGGAAAGCCACTCACAGCCAGACGAGGGCGGGCGAATCCGCATGGCTCGGAGTCCGTGGTGACGCCACTCACCAAACACCTGCTTTCACAGGTGCCTCCTGCGGGGCGATTGCGGCGGACAGAAGGAAGATAAATTAGTTCAGACGCACAACGCCGCGGCGCGTCGTCTCTTGAATTGCGAAGCACGGCAGCACGGCGTAGCGCAGCTGAGCTTGCCGATCAGAAAGATCGAGAAAGAACTAAAGTTCCACTAATGCTTTGCCGCAGCGGCGGCGTAGCGAAACTGGACGACGAGATCGCCCTATGCGGGGCGCAAGTCTTGCCGAGCAGAAAGATCGAGAAAGAACTAAAGTTCCACTAATGCTTTGCGGCAGCGGCAACGTAGCGAAACTGGACGACGAGATCGCCCTATGCGGGGCGCAAGTCTTGCCGATCAGAAAGATCGAGAAAGAACTAAAGTTCCACTAATGCTTTGCGGCAGCGGCGGCGTAGCGAAACTGGACGACGAGATCGCCCTATGCGGGGCGCAAGTCTTGCCAATCAGAAAGATCGAGAAAGAACTAAAGTTCCACTAATGCTTTGCGGCAGCGGCGGCGTAGCGAAACTGGACGACGAGATCGCCCTATGCGGGGCGCAAGTCTTGCCGAGCAGAAAGATCGAGAAAGAACTAAAGTTCCACTAATGCTTTGCGGCAGCGGCGGCGTAGCGAAACTGGACGACGAGATCGCCCTATGCGGGGCGGAAGTCTTGCCGAGCAGAAAGATCGAGAAAGAACTAAAGTTCCCCTAATGCTTTGCGGCAGCGGCGGCGTAGCGAAACTGGACGACGAGATCTCCCTATGCGGGGCGCAAGTCTTGCCGATCAGAAAGATCGAGAAAGAACTAAAGTTCTACTAATGCTTTGCGGCAGCGGCGGCGTAGCGAAACTGGACGACGAGATCGCCCTATGCGGGGCGCAAGTCTTGCCGATCAGAAAGATCGAGAAAGAACTAAAGTTCCACTAATGCTTTGCGGCAGCGGCGGCGTAGCGAAACTGGACGACGAGATCGCCCTATGCGGGGCGCAAGTCTTGCCGAGCAGAAAGATCGAGAAAGAACTAAAGTTCCACTAATGCTTTGCGGCAGCGGCGGCGTAGCGAAACTGGCCAACGAGATCGCCCTATGCGGGGCGCAAGTTCGTCTGCTTCTTTTGCAGGGGCTGAGGTGACGTAAGAACGCCAAGCTCTGATTGACTTTGAGTGACGGATAGAGGGTAGACCTCAATGCTGGGTAAATTGAGCTCTACCCACTATCCTTCCAGTCGAAACCACTCAGAGCTCGGCGCCGTTTTGACGCTACCGGAACTACTGCGCAAGAAGCAGACGAACTTGCTCTGCGCATTCGTGACGGGCGACTTCGACGGGCGCCATATTAGGATCTTCTTCGTCCCACATTTGTGTGACATTAAAAAGAAAATAAATTCTTCTTTGAACGCGTTATTCACCATCAGTTGGTCTTTTTTGTTTAACCACCACGGTGCAGCTATCCTCTGCATCGAATTGCTGCTTCGATTACCCCGATCGCATTTGTACCGATCAGCGGAAGCGGAAACAAAAAGCGAAGCAAAGCACGTTGGACCGCGCTGGACTTAATACGTTTAGTCTACAACCTGCTTGTGGTTCGGTCGGGCCCTTCTCTGCGTGACGGGGCCAGCTGGGCGCGGCGTATAGTGGAGGACATCGGCACGATCGCGTTCGGAGCCTGAATCTATACTTCCTTTCACCTTCAATCCAGACGCAGCCGGCGCCACCAGCTAATGGTACCAATCGGACAAGTTGAAAGGCACTCACTATCATGGCGTTCGTTATGTTTCTGTACGTTTTCTGTCATCGCTTAACCAATCAGGAACAAAGCGGGCCCAGTTACTTGCGCTTTTGACGCTACATTATTGGTCCAATTAGCTCATAGCGATGTCTGCGTCTGCAGCACGTAAGCTGAAGCGAAGTATAGGACCATGCAAGGGGCTTTGACGACGAAGCCAACCCGTCCTCGGCGCGGCAGCCATGAACCTAACCCGCAGGCAATGGGGAGAGAAAGTGGTCTGCTTCTAGCACAGGAGTTCCGGTGGCGTCAGAGTGACGCCGAGCTCTGAGTGGCTTTGATCGAAAAAATAGTGGGTAGACCTCAACGCTGGACGCCTTGAGGTCTACCCATTATTTTCTTTTCTCAGTCAGCCGATAAGAGGTCGGCGTTTTCACATCATCACATACCCCGTGTAAGAAGCAGACCAACTTGCGCTTCGCTTTGGCCAGCCGCTGCGCTCCAGCACTCCAGTCCCCGAACATGTCACGGAGCGGGAATTTTTTGCTTGTTTTTTGTAAAGTCAATTCGCTTATAACTCCCAAAATAATTGAAATATAGGGGAAAAAAGTTTTCCTCTGTGTTCCTATGTAACGGTTAAGAGTTGAGCTTGTTGGTACATACTTGTAATTATATCAGCTTGAACTTTAGAAATATCTAGAACACAAAGACAGAAAGGACATCCTTTCCTTTCTGTCTTTGTGTTCTAGATATTTCTAAAGTTCAAGCTGATATAATTACAAGTGTTCCTACGTTTTTAACTGAGTTTCACCGCAAATTTCAAGCTTGTCTGAAAATCATTGGGGGGAGCCTTAGCATATAGCCAGTTTGGTCAAGAATAAAAAAACAAACTGATTACTGATTAACTGAGTGTATCAATTTTTATTTTTATTCATTAATCAAAATGTTAATAAATAATTCATTCATTCATTTATTCGTTAGTTTAAACTACATTTACTTGTGCAGGATCGCAGTAGGAATGGCACATAAACAACACTACACAAATACATGGCCGATACAAAAATTAAATTGTAATACGATAGCATGTCATAAATGTATAAAACACAAATAGCAAAAAAGAAAAAAAAAAAACACAAGCAAAACAAAGCTACTATTCACTCCATATCAAAGTATTTTCTTCAGAGTTCGGGGATCAGTTTAAAGTGGCACTGACACCCCAGCGGTTTCGTTGTCTAAAACGATAAACATTTTAATCAGACGCAAAAAAAAACAAAAACACAATGCAAAAAACAAGTCGCACGTTGGCGCGCGTTTAGTTATGTTTGAAGCCTTTCTCTCTCTCTTCTCACCTCCTGGCTTCCTTTTATTTGGGACTTAATCAAGTATGAAATTTAGAAGCTTTGCAAGTGACATTTTTTATAATATTTATTAAAAGCATTCGTAAAACATGTTTTTAACGCAAATGCGAACGCACTACGGTCCTTCTTTTTGAGATACCGAAAATCGGAGTCCGCAGAGATCTCGCCTCCTGGCTTTTTATCCTAGAGCTCCCTCGAAAAACATGGCGGCTTTCGGCACATGTAGTACTCTATTTATCTATTAATTATATATAATGTAGTACTCTATTAACTAGACTACTCAATGTAGTACCCTAGTTATCTTTTCTGGGGGTCCGACGACCTCTCAGACTCCGAAAAGGGAATCGTCAAGTGGTCAAAGCAACTGGGTTTGGTGTCTGTGTACCGTAGTTTCGGTAGTGACTCCGTCGTGGCAGCCTTTCACGCAACGCCGGCTCAGCGTGGCCCCTCACGTCGCTCACAAAAGTCCACTGCGTGTTCTCTTCGACCTCACACCGTTTGAAAGAATTTGAGGTCGCTGAAAGGGCCCTAAAGACCGACGACCAGTTCGCGCTTTCCACTTCTCCCTTACTTCCTCCTTTCCCCCCTTCTAGACTGTCTACCGCTGCCTGTTTCCTCCTCCCCCATGGTGAGGAGGATCTTCTGCCTTGCAGAATCTCCAGTCGGTACGTCCGTCGGCCTTTAAAAGAACTCCATACTCGAAAGTGAAGCGTCGTCTGCTCACGGCGATAGGTGGCACACACAGCGAAGAGCGGTTGAGCAGGGGACGCGGGCGAAAACGACACTTCGGGACGGGATGGCTCAGAGGCGTGAGAGAAACCCGAGTTGCAGGACGACTCAATTTTTGACGTCACAGCACTGGCGGGGATCGCACGAGAGCTTCAAATTCAACTTTGGGAAAAATATTTCTTACTTTACAAATAACGAGTTTTTTGAGCATTCGACCACAGCGTGACATGGATGAAAACGAACGAAATGCTCGGCATGCTGCGGCTCAGCGTCTACGCAGACAAGCACCACCAGAGCTTCGCCCCAATCAACATCATTCACCACGTGGAGATGCGCTTGTTTTTAAACCCGATTACAAAAGTTAAATATAATGATCAATCCATGTGACACATTTAAAATAAATAATTTAAGCTCCATGCGGCCCTGGGCCCATTATTTTTTTACATACATAATAGCAAAATAAACATGTCTATATAAAATCTGGATACTTCCAATACGTGGACGGCGCTGATTTTCGACCGCCGCACGAGGAATTCAATCCTGCCGCTCCTTTTTGACGAAGCTATGTAGCGGAAGAAATGACCTGTTTTGTTAATAAAAATAATTTAAACCTTATCTTTATTTTTACCCCTAAAACTGTCGTACGGAAAACTACAGGATAAATGAAAAATACTGAACAGCCTGAAAATTTTACGTTTTAACAGGGGACGCGGGCGCAAACGACACTTCGGGTCGGGACGGCACGGAGGCGTGAGAAAAACCCGAGTTGCAGGACGACTCAATCTTTGACGTCACAGGACTGGCGCGGATCGCGTGGGAACTTCAAATTCAACTTAGGGAAAATGTTTTCTTACTTTACAATACTGAGTTCCTAAGTTTGAAATTTAGGGTAATGTCCAGGCATCGTTTTGAATTGTTCCTGATAATAAAAAAAAATTATTTTGGCCTCTCAGTACCCCTTTAAAGAACGAAAGTTTGTTATTTCAGCGGCTGTTTATTCCAGTCCTTGAAAGTATGAGGAGAAAAATTTAATACGGAAAAGGTGATGCCGTGGCCATGGCGCCACAATATAATACTCCTGCTGATGTGTTGGAGAGCATAAATCGAAGGGTAATTGCTTAACGGAATAAAAGGTCCTTTAATAAGCTTGGCAGCAGTCACAAGTTAGGGTGCTGTAACAACAAAGCGCCACTTGTGTATGCTTGTCCCTTCTTAGTAGAACTTGTGCAATCAACTGTCGGGAAGACAGCATCCAACAGCATGACACGGAACCTTCTGTGAATATACCTTATTTCGAGAACGCTGCTTGTGTAGGGAAATGATAGGACTCTAAACACCCCACTCGAAGACGCGCTCCAGGCACCATAAC